TATTCTATAGAATTTTCTATAGCAAAGTGATTAGGAACTAATGCTCTACTGTATCATTAGTATTATTAAAAAAGTCTTTTATAGTTCTATTTTCTAACTATGGATATTGTTTTAAGGAGAAGTGAAAAGAGAACAGGGGGTAGTACCTATTTTTGGTAAATAGAACTCAGTAGCAGGAAGAGATACCAGGTACCATAAAGAAGGATTACCAAACTATCTTGCTTGAAACAGGACATCTTATATATCTTATTGACTTTTTCTGATGATCATCATAACACCAACTGGATGATCATCACGCCACAACACCTTTTATAGAGATCACAATCTTAACGCTCATTGGATTAGCATGTGAAACTGACTTCTTATAAGAAATAATGCTTTTCATAGGTTATGGTGTCAGATATCATATTAAATCTATTTAATCATTTTCACATGGAATTGAATTAGTATCTTGTGATCTGACCTGTGAAGCACTATCCACTGTGCTATAAACTCACAGGTCTTGGTAGGCCAATACGTATTGTTATATACTTCATTCTTTTTTTGATTTCATATAAAATATATTTTATTTTTACTTTATAATCAATAAAGTTATAAGGAAGGTCTCACTTAACATTTAAAAAAAAAGTGAATATGGGTGAAGAATTGTTACTTAATATTAAGATAAAATTAATAGTTTCTATTATTTGCTTGGCTTCTTTGCTAGCTAATAGGTACTTGAATATATATTGAATATTTTTAGTATAAAGGTTGTATTTAGGGCAGTAAGGATTATTATATAGGTTGGAATATAATTAATTGAGGAATTCTTGAGTAAAGAGAATTTTTGATAGCAATTTAATTCTATATAAGATTAGATTGTTGTATTGATTATTGTGAAAACTTTTAATAAATCTATGAATTAAGTATTTTGAGGCCAAATGTACAGTATAAGTGGCTAAATATTTTAAATATCGAGAAGCTTTTATATATTATATATGTTTTGGTAATGCTATAAATTTTTTTGTACTATATTGTATAGCTCTTTAAATTACAATTGTTAATAGTAGAGTTTTTTGTAAGATATATTGGAAAGTTGTTCCACTATATAGATCTTATAAATCTTAGTTTGGATTTTGGCCTGGCCATGCTAAAAGTAATAAATTTTTGTATTGCAATGTAATCAATTCTTGCTAATATTGCAGTGAAGTTAATTTTTATTCTTTTTCTCAGAGAGCTAAAAATTAATTAAATTATCTTTTTGTTATTTCAAACTTTAATAGTAATATCAGGAGAGTACCATTGAATTATATTTAAAATTACTTGTAACAAATTACCAGTTGAAAGTTCAATATTGATTAGTTTTATAAAAGTGTCATTAATGATTATATCACTTTTTAAGAGTTGAATATGATAAAGGTTATATGATTCAATACTCTACAATAGTGAGAGGTGAGGTATAATTAAAGAAATATTGATTAATTGAAAAATAGATTTGCTTTCTAAGGGAGAGCTTGTTAGTTCTTGAATGATATTGCAAAGGTGATATTTAGAGGTTGGGGTGGATTTATTAATTATTTATAATAAGCATATATCTGAACTTGTAAAGTATAATATGTAGGTATTGTTATGTTGCAGTTTGAGAAAACAATCTAGATATTTGAAAAGATTATTGTTGACATCTATTGTATGATATTTTCCTTTGAGAAGTATATTTTTAGTAACATTATGCATTCTTTTGTTAGTTTGAATGATAGTGTTAAAATTATAAATAAATCAAAAGATTGGATTAAAATTTGAGAGAAGACCATGTGTATTAATTAATTTGGTATCAATATTGTTGAAGTTTTTGAACCAAAGAGGTTTTGAATCACAATAGACTATTCCAATATATAAGATTAGTTGTGCCCATGTAAGTTTGTGATAGTTGTTATGTTTCAATAATTAATTGATGAATTTAATGTTAAGAGTATTAAATATATTAATGGCTAATTTTTAAAGATGTGATGGAAAACTTTGAAAGAGTATACCTATTGAATTGATGACATTATTGTGGTTATAAATTATACATATAATAGAAATTGATAGATTCTTAATGCAATTAACACAATTATTTGACTCAATTAATTGAGTCACTATTAAAACATATAAAATAATTGAGTCAGATACAATTATTTTTGAGGATTTTGGCAATTAAGTCAACAGCAAAATAATTTACATCACATGTATACTGTAAGTACATTTTGAAGAACAAATTTGAATTTAAAAGTTCAAGACAACTTTGGCTATATACAAAATTCTACTGTCTTGATTGAATTTTTTTGGCTATTATATTGGACAAAATCAAATTGCTTTGTTTTTTTGAATAGATATAATTTTTTAAATAATAAATTTTTTGGTTATGGATATAACTAGCTTAGTGATTAGGCTATCTATAAGATTAAATTTTTGTTTTTCTTCTAATATTGGAATATTAACTGGCTATTATTGTATTTGAATACTTGGACAAGATTTTGTAAGCTGATTTGATAAGTTTGTTGATTTTTGTTTGAATAAAGTTGATAAGGTTTTTGTTTAAGGAGAAAATGAATAGGAAATATTCAAACTTCTTTAAAATTATTTATTTGCAGATATACTGTTTAATTTTTCCTTTCCTTTGATTCTTGAATAGTTCTCTTAAGATCTGGTTGATGGATTGATTAAAAGCTTTCCTGTTGATTTTAAGTAGATTGTATTGTCATATATCTTCTTACCTCGGGAGAAAAATATGGACAGAGAACTAGTAGCAGAAAGACACTTTGTATGAATGGACCAATATGATATGCTAAAGTTCATAAGGGTGTACTAAAATTAGTACAGTTCTGAGATATATGAAATCAAGCAAAAGAAGCAATGGTGATTTGTTTTATAAAGGTCAAGTTATTTTATTAATAAAGAGGAAAGTTCAACCTTGCAATTTCAGGAGGAATTGAAGGCATTTATATACATATTTTGGAGTATATAATAGATAATAATAATAATATTGATAAAATAGATTTATCTTCATTAGAGCAGTTAACATACTTACAGCAAGTACAGGGAAATATTCTAGCGAAGGTATATATGGTAATAAAGATAATAAAGTAATAGAAGATTCTAGAGGTAATATAGATAATAAAGGTGATGAAAGTAAAGGCAGTAAAGACATAGATCAGTAGTACAAAGATTATTCTAGAATGGGACAATATTATAAGGATAAATGCTAGTAAAAGTAATACAAGGGGCAATGTAAATCTTGAGTGAAAATCACATATAACAATAGGATATTTAGATTTTTTAATTATCTTTATAAGATATATAAGTTCTTTGCCTTATCAGATTAATAGGTTTAGATAGTTTAAACTGGTAGTAGAATTTTTATCTTCTGAATTAATCCTACCTAATATATAAATCTATATACTGAATATAAGTTTATATAGTTGGATAACTAAGGTAAATAAGTAAGCTATTACTAGAAATAGTTAATAAACAGTACTAAGTCTATATATATAAAAGACAGTATATTGTCACAGGTCAGGGTTTAAAGTAACACGTCGCAAAAATCTTGACTTCGTGATACTCTTGTACAGGGGTCACAGGTTTTACAAGGGGATAATAGGCAGAAAAAAGGTGTAGATTTGACAAGTTTCGATAATTTGAAGGAATATAATTGGTTGGAAACAGTGCGATAAGTATCATGATTTTTATTAGTGAACAATCTTTTTTATTATCTTTTCTAACAGTCATCTCTATTTTCATTCTCACTACTCAATTATTACATCGTTTATATACTTTTTCTAGCTGCAAAACGAAATAATCGAAATAATTGAAATAACAGAAATAATTGAAATAATAGAAATAAAAGAAATAACAGATATAACCGATTATACAGAACAAGCAGAAACAACTAAAATAACTGATCGAGCCGAACAAGTGAGGTTGAGGGTCAATTAACTGATTTAACAACCTCTGTAATAAGCGATCTTTATTACACAATTCTTAAAGCATATCATCAATCGTTTTTTCCTCTAACAGTTCCTCCCTTTCTTAATTGCAAGTTCCACGAGCAAACCTTTACTCGACCAGAACTCAATATTCATACACACTCAACCTTTTGATCTTGTTGAAGGTGATATTTTTGATCCGATAGATCTGCTCTATTTCTTACTTTTGAAAGAGGTAGTAGATCCATAAGCTTCCTAGGCAATAATGCGGGGTAAGACAATTATGCTGTTCTGTCCTCTCTACCAGCTGATCCAAGTAGTATGCCGTTACAAACGTTTTAGTCCGCTGACCCAAGTACATTGTCCTCCTTAGGTATGACAGGGTTTCGCGACTTTTTCCTCATAAGTATCCCAGGCATCGTAGGGTGGTGGCACGATGTTCACATACATGGGCTCCATTGTCACAAATCCATGATTATCCTGGCAACTTTATTGAACATCGTTCTAGAATAACTAGTTAATTTTTTTCTAAAAAAAAATGGGTGGGAAAACAATGAAAATAATAGAAAAAACGAATTCAAAAAAACAAAATTATGATTGCAAAAACCCATCCTACTTCTACTTATACAAAAAATAAAAAAAAACAAATAAACTAAATAAAATAATCATTCGAATTGATTGAACCGATCGAAAACATCTCTTTTTTTTTTTCACTATATTTTTTTCACTTTTTAGAATTAAAGTTAAAAGTAAAATAAATGCTAATAATTAAAAATTGAAAATGACAAGTGTAAAAAGAAATAGCATTTTCAAAAGTAAACAAGGTAGGCTATTTTCTCTCAAGTCATTGAATAATTTCCTCCTTGATCCTGATGATCAATTGTCTTTCCATGCTGAGCAGGTCTGTTGATATAACTATTATACCCACGTCCAAGTTTTCGTAGCAATTCTTCTTGATGTTTCTTTCGATAGATTGCAACTCTTCTTTATCTGTCCATTCATTATGCATTTCCCTTATGTTATTATTCTTTTGTTCAGCAATCCACTATTTTCGTTTTTTAGGTCTTCATTAAACATGAAAAATTTTGAATATACAAAATCAAAAACTATATAGCAAGAGGTGCCATTACAACAGATATGATTAAAACTATCAAAAAATACATACTAGCAGAAAATCAAAAAGAAACTATTAAAAATATTATCAACAGATTCCTCAACATAATCCAAGAAAAATGGAACTAAGATACAACAATTTCACACAATAGGAAAAGAAACATAACATCACCTCTAAAGATAAAAGACAATATAAATTCACAAACACAAAAAAGAACACATACAAATCTGCCATCCCAGGAATCAACATGATCATGAAATATGTCAACCACCATTAGATCAACTGGAACACAATCTATTTATTTAAAAAAAATTTTTATGGGACAGATAGAGCCTTGACAAATTTGTCAAGTATATATTAGTACTTGGCAATAAGCTATATGGTAAAAAAATTTTTTAGTGAGTTTAATTAGATAGATAGAGTGATAAATTTATATAAAATAAATTTGTACATACTTATTTAAAAATATCTAATAAACAAGGTGTAAACTATTCATTCAAAAAAAATATATTTAGTTATAAAAAAAATAACAAAAAAAAGATATAAGTACTTTATAAGAGACAATTATATTAACTTATAGACAAGAATATAAATCTGAATTTTTAGAATGGTAAAAAAAATCTTTCTTAAATAATTATTATATATTATATAAATATTCTATAAAATTATATAAACAAAAATACATATTATTAATATATAAGTTCTTATTAATTTTTTTGAAAGACTTATATATATAAATATAAAATAATATAATTTGTGGATTTATAGCACAGTGATTAGTGCTCCACAGGTCAGATCACAAGATATCAGTTCAATCCCATGTGAAGGTGATTGAACAGTATTAATATAGTATTTGGCACCATAATTTGTTATGTGCTGTTTCTTATAAAAAGCCATTTTACATGCTGATTCAGTGGGTATTGAGATTATGATCTTCTTGTTAAAAGATATAGTGGTGTGACAATCATCCAGATGGTGTTACAATGATCATCTATGAAAGGAGCCATAGAATCACTAATATATTTGAATATATAGACTAGGTTATACTCCATCTTAACCAATCCCAGTTTGCTATTTCTTGTTGACCATCGAATAAGAAAGCTTTGAAAAAGAGTACTACTAATACCTTGTATGACATGGTTCTTCCTGAACAGTTTAAATATGTAGAAGTTGCACCCTACTTAACATTTATATCCCTAGATTTGACAGCCTATACCAATCTGGTCCTATAAAATGGAGTGTCTACTAGAAGATTAAGGAATCCTCAAGAAATCGTGCCCTACTTGGACACAAGAACTCCTAGATTTGGCAGCCAATGTCAACCAGCAGATCAATACCAAGAGCATTCACTAAGGAGTACATACCTCACATTGTCGACCCCTCTGCCATATGGCATATGAGCGAAAAGATATAATGTGATAAGTAACCTTAGGAAATAGTCAGCAGTACCTACTGCCCTCATACAAAATTGAACTGGTAGGTTAGGTGGTTTAAAACTTTCATTTCCTAGATAGGTCTTCACCAAAAATATAAACCCACTTCAAGAGTATTACTAGTATCGCTGAGGCAATAAGTAGATAAGCTAGTATTAGTTGTTGTAATAACAATAGATGATATTTAATATAACATAAATATTAATAGTCATTCAATAAAATTCTGCATCTAATGCCATTCTATTTTAAAAAAAATAAAATAAAATAAAAGTAAAATAATAAATATTGCATATATTTAATAATATTCTTCTATATTTCAAATAATATAATAATAAATATAATTAATAATTTAAAATAATTAAAAAATAACAATAAGAATATTAATTATAATTATATCCATAAATGGTGACTTTTTTCCACACGATGAAAATTGCTTTTTTAGGAAATTGGAAAAAGTGAAAAGAAAAAGAAAAATAAGAGTCAATCAAGCATCATCCTCAAGTGTGAAAAAGGGAAGAGGTACAGAAAGGAAAACAATAACTGCAACCAGAGAAGCAAGAGTAATGATAACTACTATTGTCAAAAGAGGTCCAGGCAGGCTTAAAAGCTTGGATAAAGAAAAAAGAAAAACAAGATTAGTACAAACAACAAATATGAATATAGAAAAAGGAAAAAGTAAAGAAGTAGAAGAAGAAGAGGAAGCAGTGGAGGAAGAAATGCAAGAGGCATCAAATAAACAGGAGATGGAAATTGAAGAGGCAAGACCAGAAGTAGAAGAAGAAAGTGGAAGTATTGTAGGGCCAGATATCAGAACAGGGGAAATAGGATCATATAAAGGAAAGAAAAGAGAGCAAATGGATGGGAAAAAATCAAGAGAAGTAGAAAGGAAGCCAAGATATACATGCGAATTGGAACTAATAGCAGGCATGGAATCATTAAAAATGTTAGAAATGGTAGAGGAAGCATGTATAGCCTTTAACTCTTTTTCAGGGCAAGAGTGAAAAGAGAATCAACGGAAAAAAAGAAAGCGATCATTGCCAATTTTGAAAATCTCATTAACATGCAGGAGGCATGTAACATCAACTTTGATTCAGACAAAAAAAGAGAATACCTAATCCTGATGGAACAAAGGGAATACCAATCACAAGAGAAAAGTATAGTGATAGTCAGAGACATCCCTCTTTCGGCAAGTGAGGGGGCAATTAAGGCAGCATTAAAGAAGTTTGGGGATATCCATACCACATATATCTGACCAGTAGAAATGTAACAAATAGCAATAGTGACATTTAAAGAAAAAAAAGATGCACAGCTTTTAGCCAAAATGTAATTGATCCTATTTGAAAAAGAATACCTAAGAATTTTACCAAAATAGGAAGAAAAAGGGAAACTCGCAAGAAGATCCAAATATGTGCTCAAATTAGCAGGATTGCCAGCAGGTACCACTGCATACGACCTAGAGGAAATAGCAAGAAAAACAGGAGGGAAAATCTTATACATTCCAAGAACAGGTTTCAGATACTTAAGGGAAAGATTTATATATATAGCATTCGAAACAGAGGATTAACTAAAAGCAGCGTAGAAACAAACCTTCAAGCTAGACAGAACAACAATCAATTTCATGGACCAATATGAAAGATTATATTACAAATGTAAACAGAGTGGACATATCACCTTCCAATGTGAAAAGGTAAGAATCCAAAGAGACAAATCTATTGCATAAGCAAAATTTGTGTCAATTTAATCAAGATTCAAAAAGGGATCAGAAAAGGAGACACCTATATCTTTTGTAAAAATTTTGAGAAAGCGGAACAGATCCAGATCAGTATATAAAAAAGAAAGCAGAGAACAAGAAGAAATGAGAGAGAGGTTAAGCAACTTAAAAGAGAAAATCAGAAATATGGAAAATAAAATTAATACTTTATAAAAGTGGTAAACAGCATTACAAGAAGAGCAGAAAGAAGCGAAAGGAAAAAAGAAGAGGGAAGAAAAGCAGCAAACACAATGAGGATGCAGAGAAAATGAACACAGAGGAGGATGAAATCCCTTTGGCAACATATAAAGCAATTAATGATAAAGTAACAGAAAAACAAGACAAACTAGAAAAACAAATAGAGCATATGGGTAGAATGTTAACGGAATTGTTGGGGAATGGTCAGCCAGCAATCACAAAAAAGAAACAACAGTCTCGGGGACAATAGGAAAGAAACTGTACCATAACAACTATAAAGAAAATATAATATTACAACAAGAAAACTACAAAAACAATAAAAAAAACATCAATATATACAAAGAAAAAAGAACAAACGGGAAAAATATAAGAATTTTGACAATCAACATAAATGGATTAAATAAAGAGTTCAAAAAACAACAACTGCAGCATTATTACTACCAGAGTGATATAACCATAATAGGAATATCTGATACCAAATTTAAAAGAAGGACAAATCAAAAATCAATGGGAGACAGCAAATACAAGACCTTTTGGGCACACACTGAGAAACATTCAGGGGGTGTAGGCCTAAAAGTACAAAGGAACTAGACTAAATATATTGGAAAAATAATAAGATGGCAAGAAAGAATCCTGGCCATAGAATTAATATTCAAAAAAAAACAAAGTATAGGAATAATACAAGTATATATTTCACTACAAGTAAGTTAAGAAAGGAAAGAGATGATAACAGAAATGCAGAAAATTTTAAGAGAATGGAGGAGGAGACAATTAATAGATATAATCGTTATGGGGATATGAATACAACAACTAAGGATAATATAGATAGAACAGGAGGAAAGGAGCCAAAGGAGAAGAAAAAATAAATTAAAATACTTAAAGAATTCGAACTATATGACACGTATAGGCAGTACAACAAAAACA